TGCCAGGCACTATATGAGGCACTTAGAGTAACAGCAGATACAGCCTCTCCTCCCCCTGCTCTCTCCTGGGGCTCACAGTGGATTCAGGGAGTGGGCAAGCCAGCCCTGATGTGTAATGAAGCCTTATGAAGGGGGCAGGTGAATGGGAAATCATACCGTATAGGTTTGGCACCAGATGATGGGGGATAAGGAGAATTCCTGAATATCAGGGAACCCACTTTCCTGCAGCCTGACAGGTAAAACTCAGACTCTGTGTCCTAAAAATAGTAACTATTAAAAAATTTCAAGCTTTCATCTCAAGTTCTCACCGGTGGCCTTTGGAACCTTGGTACCCTTCCCCTCTGGGGCTCCAGTGGGTCCCTCTCTTTGGGACCCAGCCCCCGGCTACCTATCGCCGTCACCTCCAGGCTGCCTCTGGCTGCTCTGTGTAGATAAGTTCTCAACCACCTCCCTCTCCTCTCCAGAAGGAAATGCACCTGTTTGATTACTATGTACTTATTTTTATTTACCCTTTATTTGTTGAGTAGGTAATGCAGCCACGGAGTTGAAAAGTCAAAGGTGTGAAGAGCACACAAATGGCACCGCTGTGGCTCCTGCCTCCCGGTCATCAGTCTTCCCAGAGGACGTGTTTCTGGTGTATCTTTCCAGAGACAGTCTCTTTATATTAAGGGGTGGATTTTTCTTCATATTTAAGAACAAATTCTAGTACATTTTAGATGCTGTTTTGCAGTTTGCTTCTTTTAGCATATTTAAATCTGTCTTGGAGATAATGCCCCATCAGTGTATATAGGGAGCTCCCGCATTCTTTCTGTGACTTCCTAGGATGCGATGATATATCTGACCTGTGCTTTAGTTCATTGATTCCTTCTTGATGGCTGTTTAGGTTGTCTTCAAACTCTTCCCATTATGATGCACACATGAATGCAAGGCAGGCTAAATTCCTAAAAGTGGAATTGTGGAGTCAAAGGATATTGATGGCACTGCCAAGCTTCCTTCCATTGAAGTACCAATTGATGTGGCTGCCAACCATTCATAAGTGCTTATTTCACCACATCCTTGCCAGCATGATAGTTATCAATTTTTTTGACATTGCAGTTTTGTAGGTGAAATAAATGGTGCCCCGATGTCATTTTAACCAGCATTCCTCTTATTATAAGTGGAGCTGAACATCTTTTCACGTTTATTTTCATTTTATTTGGAAGAACTCCCTCTTGGCCATTTTTTTTTCTATTGGGTTATGTTTTTATCAAAAAGGAGCTCTTTATATATTAGGACAGATTAGGTCTTTGTTAGTGATGTGAGTTGCAAAATGTATTTTCCAGTTTGTCATTTGTCTCTTAGCTTTACTTTATGGTGATTTTTGCCATGCAGATTCTAAAATACTTGTATATGTGTATGTAGTTGATCATTTTTTTCTTTTATGTCCTCTATTTTTTTTCATTGTTAGGAAGATATTCTTTATGTCAAAATTATTTTTTAAAAATATCCTATGGAGTCTTCTAATGCTTTCATGATTTAATTTTTTATGTTAAAAATTTAAATCCTTACTACATCTATCCTGGTGTAAGATATGAGGTGTGAATTCCACTTCATTATTTCCACAGATGGTTATCCTTTTGTTCCAACGTCATATTTGCTGCACTGATTCAAAATGCTGTCCTTTTCACACACTGCATTTTCATTTATGCTTGGGTTTCTTTTTAAAAAACTAATTTCATTATTGAAGTATAGTCAGTTACAATGTGTCAACTTCTGGTGCACAGAACAATATCCCAGTCATGCAGATACATACACATATTCATTTTCATATTTTTTTCCATTAAATGTTGTTACAAGATATTGAACATAGTTCCTTGTGCTATACAGAAGAAACTTTTTTTTACATCTATTTTTATATTTAGTGGCTAACATTTGTAAATCTCAGACTCCCAAATTTATGTGCTTGGGTTTCTTTATGAACTTTTAGTTCTGTCCTGTTGATCTCTCTGTGTATTTCTCACCAGTACCCCATTATTCTAATTCTTAATTACACTGTGTCGCTATTCGCCTGGGTTGACCCGTTATCACTCTTCTCTTTCAGAAAAGTCCAGACTGCTTTGCTTCCTTATTTCTCTATCTGGTCTTTAGGCTCAGTTTATCTAGTTCAACTACCTTGTTAGTATTTTATTTGGATTGCTAATTTGTGGGCTACTTATTTGTATATAAGTTAGGGAGAAGGGACATTTATGATCTTTCCTAATCCAGGAGGACGACAGGCCTTTTTATTTGCTCAAGATACTTTTCATGTGTCCTTTAGGAACATTTTAATTTCTTATATAGATTTTTACATATTTCTTGACTTTTTTCTGCATAATTTTTCTTTTTTCTATTGTAAATTACTCTTTTCTTTAATATATCTTCTAACTCATGATTAGTGGATGGTGAAGGATCTCAGGTTAATTGTTTCTGTATATTAATTCAAACTTCGGTCTCTGTACTGAATTGTCTTATTGTCTGTGAATAAGGAACACGGAGTGGGCGTTTTAATCAATAGAAACCATTTTTTCCCCTCTTCCCTTTAATCTTTATTCACAGGATAAATTATTTCTCTCTCACGGGTCAATTCCAGTTTGCTTGGGCCTGTGGCTAATGTCCTTAAGCTCTGACAGCACTCATTGATTTGTTCTGGATGGCTCCCTAGTTGTACTGGTGTCTCAGGAATTTTATGTTATTTATGCTGATGCCAGTATTTTTTTGTCAAATTGGCAAAAAATTAAATATTTTTCCAATGGATTCTGTGATTCACTTTTCTCATACTAGCTGATGTATCAAATGTTCCAAGAGCCTATTTGTTATAATCTATTGCTTCTACTAGAAATCCGTTTCTTCCTATTTCATGACTTACTGTTTTGGGTATAGTCTGAAATTTCTTTTGGTTACAATTTGCTGGATGTCGGTACAATTTCTGTTAATTTCTTTGCTTCTAATTGTCGCTATTGTTTTATATTTCATTAGTTTGTATCTGGATTTTCCTTCAGTTTTTTAACAGGTAAATTTAAAGATGAGACAAGACAATCTCATATATGTCCAAATCACAAACATGTAATTATGTTCCTAAATAGTTTCCAGTTGTGGTTATCATGACAAATTTAAGTTTTCATAAGCTTTGAATAAACATTTTGCATTTTGGGGTGTTCTGGTTTCTCTTCCCTATATTGGAAAATACATTGTAGACTCCTTAAAACGTTGTTTACTCACGTGGTGGGGTTTGACTGTGCGTTTTGGGGACCCTGATGAGAGCTGGGACTCTGGGTTTAGTGGTTTGCAGTCACTTCCCGTGTGTATTCGGTTACTGTCAGTGTCTGGTGGGGGCCGGCTCCCAGTAGCATCTTACAGCCAGTCCTGTGCTGACCATGAGGATGCAGGAGCCCATTCTGTGGCCACCTGCTCCAAGACAGAGTGGACAGAGTGGTCTAACTGATTGCAGTAACAATATCATATCTTTGCAAATTTCAACAACGTACAACCACATGAAAGCTGGAGGTCTTCTCAGACCTCGGAAGGCGGGCGCAGGGGGCGGTTGAGGCCCAGCCTCCCCAGCCTAGTGCAATCTGCCTCTGCACCTGCATAGGCCCAGAGCTTCTCTAGTTTCTCTCAGAGAACCAAAGGTCCTTTGGTAAATTCTGATCACAAAACACTATCTCAACTAGGTCATTCGAATGTCCAGGCCCATGTAATAATGAAAGCTAACTCGATTCAAAGTTGCACCGACCCCTGCGTCCCCCGCTGGGCTTTCTGCAGGTCGGGACTGGGATGGGGTAATAAACTAGCTCGTTCCAAGTATTGATTTCATTTTTGATCATTTTCAATTGATTCTCTTATTCTTTTTCAGGGAAACAATCATCTTGTTTGAAAATCATGGTAGTTTTTTACCTCCTTTGTCACTTTTTTTATCTCTAATTTCTTTCTCTGCTCTAATTGTTTTGGCTAGTGTGCAGAAAAGAGTTAACATGGTGGGGGGTTAGGGGGGCTGAAGGCCCATCCTTGGAGAGGCCAGCTCACCAGGCTGGCCCTGGGCTGGCATCTGGGAACATGGATTTTGGGAGCTCCCCACTGTGCCCCGAGCCGAGAAGAGTGGCTCCCTGCACCTGTGCTGTGTGTCCAGACAGTGTGGTTCATGGTGAACACCTGCTCCCCGCTGGGGTCTGGGGACTGGGGACTTGCCAGGCAGGGATGCTCATGTGATCAGCCCCCAAGGACATCCCTGGGCACTGAGTGTCTGATGAGCCTTTCACACGGGGAATTAGTGCTGCGTGTCTCCCTGGCGGTCCTGGAAGTGTGCCTGGTTTCCTCTGGACCTCACCCCTTTTCCCTCTGGCAATTGTACTGTGTCCTCACAGCCACTCGTAAAGTGTACACAGAGCCCGTGAGGCCTCCTCGGGCATTACTGAACCCAAGGGTGTCTTGGGGACCCTGACACAGCAGACACTCTGTTCATGCTGCAGCTACGTATCAATGGTGAGAATTGCCCCATCCACTTGTATGAAGACCAGTCATTAGTCCACCAACTCGTATGCTTGGAAGAGTCCCACTTTCTTGCTGTTCAGCTGAAACACTGTCCTAGAGCCTGGGATCCTGTTAAAAATGCCAGGTTTGACTCCCATTCTGCACCACCTGACTGAGGAGGTCTGGTGCGGACCATCCAGTGCACCAGGATGCGGATGTTTTTGTCCTCACAACTCCCTCCACGCTTTCTCTTCTCTTGGAGGTTTCTCCCAAGAGGTTTCGCTTCTGTTCTTGTCAACTGCCCTCCCGTGCCCCACACATGGCCTAGTCCACTGGGGTGAGGGCACGGGGCAAGGATAATTCCCTGTGCCATCCAGGCTGGCCATCTTCTTTTTCCTCCAAGGTGCGCAGACCCAAAGCTGCCCAGTGCACAGTGGTGGTTCGTGCTGCTTACACCCGCCCTGGGACCCAGTCCACACCCGGCTAAGGAGTTTCAGTCAGGATCATGATGACCTGTGGGAAGTTCTTTTCAAGATTAAAGCCACGCTTACTGGTGATTAATATGAGGGAATTGGAATGTGGTGGGGGAGATGCTTTTGATGTTAAGGGCGACCAGTAGGAAACTGGTACAATCATCTGAAAGTGAAGGAATGAGATACGCACAGAATTCGGGGCTAATTGGGACCTTGGAAGAGGAGGACATGCTTGATAAAGATGAGACTAGAGTCAGGGCCTTTTCAATCATGGGGTGAGTGTCGTGTTTTCAAAACCAAGAGATTCTCCCAGGCTCCCCTCCCTACCTCCAGTCCACTGTGCACAGCTCAGCCAGAGCCAAGCTCTCCATCACCACTTCACATCATCACTTCCCTATTCAGTGTCTGGTGAGTGGCCTCCACTTGCCTCCCTCATCAAAGCTGATGTTCAGATACCTCAGTGGGGCCCACTCACTTGTGTGTAACTCCTCAATATGACATTTAAACATCCTTCTGTGATGCTTACACGTAGCATGTGTACACACACACACACACACACAAACACACACACACACTGCCTCCAACAGACCGTTTCTTATGTTTCTCGAACATGTCACTGTTTCCTCTTTACTTTTTTTATTGAAGTGTAGGCAGTTTATAATGTTATGCCTTTTTTCTTTTCTTTTCTTCCTTCCTTTCTTTCTCTCTTTCTTTCTTTTTCTTATTGAAGTATACCCTTTCCTCTTTCATGTAGTTATCCCTCCCCAGAAAGCCTGACAGAGGTCTGGGCTGTTCTGAAACTGACAGAGGGTTTAGTGCTTTTTTTAAGTCACATAAGTGCTTTTGGCATCCTTCGGGCTGTCCTCAAAACGTCCCAGGAGCATGTGTGAGCTGAGTGTAGCTAAGCTGGAGGAGAGTAGGGTGAGGTCATACGTAGCTGACTTGAGGCTGTGCTAATCCACCAAAGCCTGTCCTTTGAGCAATTCCAGGCTGGCCTAGGGAGGTCCTATTACATTCAGCAGTCAACAGAGTGAATTTAAATATAATATAGGGGGGAGGGTAGAGCTCAGTAGTAAAGAGCATGACTAGCATGCATGAGTTCCTGGGTTCAATCCCCAGTACCTCTACTAGAAAAATAAATAAATAAACCTAATTACCGCCTGTCCCCCAACCCCCAAAGATAGTACATGTAAAGGGCAGGGATAGAGACTGGTACGTGTTGGCCAAATCCTGTTTCCCTTTACTCTTCCTGGCCTGCATCTCCAGGCTCCCTTGTAGAGAGATGGGGTCATGGAATTGGGTTCTGATCAATAGGATGTGAGCAGAAGGGATGAACGCCATCTCCAGGCCCTTTCTCTGACTGCAGTTTGTACAGTTGAGTGCCAGCCCTCATACTCAATGTCTTACAGTCAGCAGAGAGCAGCGTATATGTGTAAATCCTTGGTACCTCAGGCCTGGATGCTGGGAGTCCTCACCAGCAAGGCAGCATAGCAGGGGGGTCAGAGCCAGGCTTCCTAGTTTCATATCCTACCTTCCCCATATAAACTGTGTGAACTTAGACAGGTCAATCAACCTCTCTGTGACTCTATTTTCCATCGTTTTTCAGTTTTCTTCATATAGATCTTGGCCCTATTTTGTTAGACTTATACCTCAGTATTTCATTTTTGGGGTGCTAATATAAAGGCACTGGGTATGGTTTTTAGTCTCAAATTCCTCTTGTCCGTAACGGCACATAGAAAGGCATTTGACTCTTGTATGTTAATCCTATATCCGGCAACCTCACTGTAATTGCATATTAGCTCCAGGAGTTTTGTTGTTGTGTCATTGATCCTTTCATATTTCTACGCAGACAAGCATGTGATTTGCGAACAAGGACAGTTTGATTTCTTCCTACTCAATCTTATACCTTTGATCTCCATTTCTTACTGCGTGGGCTCGGACTTCCAGTACAACATTGGAAAGGAGTGGTGAGAAGGGAGCCATTATTTTTTAAATGGAGGCAATAATCAGATCTACCCAGTAGGATTCTTTCAAGGCTTAAGGAATTAGTGCATGTGAAGTGCTTCGATGAGATGTGAAACATTGTTGTTATGTAAGTGCCATGTAAACTTAGTGCTACGTAAACTTAGTGTTATGTAAACTTAGTGTTATATAATTGCTACATAAGCATTTGATAAAGAAGTAAATTACTTAGTGCTCCCTCTGTGTCAGTGACCCCAGACGGGTTAAGTGACCTCTCCACCATGAAACATTTCAGGCAGGATGCTCAGGTCAGGTGAGAGATCTGGCATCTGGGGACAAGGGAGTTTGATCCAATAAGCTATCATTAGCATAGTTGCTTTTCCTGATCAACAGGTTTCTTGCCAGACCTGTATCACAAGGCCAAGAAATGAGACAGGCTCATTATAAAAACTCTCCATTGTTTCCAATTTAATTACAGCTGAGAGTGGAAGCCACAGCCCCTTTCCTCACTTTGCTTGTTGTGGTTATACCAGGGCGCTCCGGTTCACCTGAAGCCATAAGCTTAACACACACTAGAGTCGCCCCTTCCTTGGAAAAGACAACCCCGAGGTTGCTCAGGGGCCATGTCCATGCTTGTCCCACCCAGCAGGAGCTCCAGGGCCACAGGAGGAGGCACAGAGGGGACGAGAGCTGAGTCTCAGAGGGGTGGCCCCCAGACTGCTCTCAGACTTCTGCAAGTGGTGGTGGTGGTGAGAGTGGTGCTCAGCGACCAAGATCTCGGGGCTTCTCTGCAGCATCCATGGAAAGAGGTCCTCTCTGGAGCTCTCCTGTCAAGAACCTGGGCCCTGAGCACCGCCTCCAGTCTCCCCCTTGGCAAACGCAGCTCTTCTAAGCAAATCCACCTTGGACAGAGAGAGAGATGCCTTGGCCTGACCTTGGACCTTGGGCTTACTTCTGGATTCACCCCTCAGCTTTCTTTCAGATCTTGGAATAGCTGTTCAACTTCCCCGGGCTTTTCTTACCTGTCTCGAAGTCCCTCAGCCACAGTGAGGGACTGACTGTCCAAGAGAGGCTTGTCGTGCTGACAGAGGGAGAGTATTACCAGTCCCCCACCTACCCCTCCCTCCCTCCCCAACAGTGGACCCAGTTCATCTTTGGACCACAGTCCAGAGAGTTGGAAAGTGACTGAAAAGTCCTACTTACTCAACAAAAAGTCTTTAGAAAGGACTCACTGACGAATCGGTGGGATCTTTAGATATTCTTAGCGCCCTGTCCTTAATTAGCATTGTCACTGGGCAGTCATCACTGGGGCAAGATGCGCCATCCCTGTTGCTGGAGGACCTAGAGGGCAATTAATTAGAATTTTTGTGTATAGAACTGCAGAGGATCCAGCAAGAGCTCTTTGAGAGTATCACTTATCATGTGGTTCCCTGAAGGCAGCAGCGATGTTTGGTTGTTCAGCAGGAGTGTGACCAGGAATAAATGGCTACAGCCTTTTCACTGGAAAAAAAAAATCTTGCCCTAGATCCTGTGACACTGCAAGTGCCTGCTGAGTCTTCCTGGTAAAGCTCCTCCCCCAGACTTTGAGAACAGTACTTAATTCACCCGCAGGAGAGAGGAGAAGGTGGGTGCTCTGTGTAGTGCTGTAATGATGGGAGGGGAAAGGCTGGTCTTCATGTGCCCTGTACAGACCCCCACCCTGGGGAAAGCTGACATGCAGTCACCTGCTACTGTGGACGGCTTCTGTCAACAGCACAGACTAATGTCCACTTCGAGAGCACCCTCTGCCCTGGCCTAGGGGAGGAGCAGGGTCACAGCCAAATGTCAGAGGAGACCCACTGCTCATTCAGGCCTGCAGTGTGTGGAGGGCCCGGCATGTTCCTGCTGCGCGATGTGCGGGTTGGTGCATGTCCTGCGCTGCGCCTGGTGCTCCACTGATGCTTGGAAAAGGGGTTTGCTGTTTGAGGCTCTAAGAGCCCCGGCCGGAATCCACAGGGAAGTTCAAGGATGTGATTCAGGGGAGAGCTGCTCAGGGCCAGGGCCCAGAGAGGGTGGGAGGCGGATGCCCCCGGGAGAAATCTGCTCTGCTGCTAGGGACTGACCCTTCCATCCCTGTCCCTAGGCGTGGTGACCTGTCTCATGGCACCTCTCCAGCTCATCAAGGTGGAGGAAGAAGATGGTGGGCGCTTACCTCTGCCACCAAGTGCCAAGGGCAGCTTTTCCTAGGTTTTGAGTTAATGGATTTCAAAACCAGGTTTAAGACTCAGTGAAGACTTTGATCGCCTTGAACATTGCAGGAGACGGCCATGGGCGGTGGAGTAGACTCAGGCTTAGGGTGGATGAATTGAGGACCTAAGGCAGGGGAGGGGTCAGCCAAAAGACAGCAAGGGGGAGGGGTGGTAGGAGAAGGAAGGAGGCAGTCATTTCAGACCATTTTGAGGGCTTCTCTCCTGCTGCTGATGCAGAAGGGAGAGGACACGCCAGGCACCACTGAACTTACCCAGTGGGCTCTCTTTTGGTGTGTGGCCACCTCCCACCTGATGACAGTGCAGGAGTGTGGCAGGGAGCCAATTTGAAATTCTTGGTTTGCCCATCATCACTGCAGAGTCAGAGAACTGAGCAGCTCTGCCTCCGGGAGACCAGCCCAACTCAGAAATGTAGCTCCAGCTGGGTGTGGAGGCTGAGTGATGTGGTGTCAAGTGGCCAACGACTGTGCCATCTCTGAATTTGTGGCTACAGAGGAGAAACACACTCTGCTTGGGAGGGAGACAGGCCAGACTGAAATCAAGATCTAATCACTTAACTCTTGCATGGCCTGGAGAAAATCTCCAATTGTCAGAGTCCCCGTTTGTGAAAGAAAGAAAAAATCCTATTGCAAATGTGCGTGCTCAGGGTGGCAGGGAGGGGTCAGTGGCTTTTATGATGGAGGAGAGCTCCTGATTCTGTCATCTTTATGGCTCCTCCAAGCAAAAAACTAACCCTCCCATATAGTAAGCCTCTGAGAGACACATTGTCAGAGGCAGAAGGCACTCAGATTTGCATGTGCCGAATGCTGGGAAAGCTGCGCCGTAAATTGCAAACAGCCTTGCA